ACTTGTGCGGTACCTTGCCAGTACGCCCCGGTACCTATGTGTCCCAGTACCCAGGTACCTATGTGTCCGCAGTACCCCGGTACCTATGTGTCCCAGTACCCCAGGTACCTATTGTCCCGTACCTATGTTTCCCAGCTACAACACGAAACAAAGGATTTCCGGATTAAGCCTAGGCTGTTACGTCAGCAAACAAAAAATTAAATGTTTTTTTAGTTAATTTTCAAAATACAAAACTGTCAGTTCAGTTCACATTTTTGCATTAAGCGGGGACACACCATGCGAAATTCGCATATATCATATAATATATATTTTATATATCATTATAATGTTCAATTTTCCATTTATCGTTTTTTTCATGACTTTTATATGACTTCCATATGATTTTAATATATTAATAATGAATGCGATTAATTTTGAGATTAATTCAGATATTTTTTCTTTTGTGTTAAAAGAATTTTGAGTCCCGTATTTAAAGGTTAGGCTGAATCAGTATTATTTCATATTGTTTAAAGACATATTTAAGGAGACATACTGAGCATAGTTTTATTCTTCATGACTTTAAATAGTACCCCCTTTTAAGATGGGGAACATGGTACGGGAAACATAGGTCTGCTGGACACATGAGGTACCCGGTACTGGGATACATAGGTACCGGACACATAGGTACCGGGACACATAACGGTACCTGGTACTGGGACACATAGGTACCGGGACACATAGGTTACCGGGACACATAGGTATGGACCCGGTATTTAGTACCCAGATGGGTCGTTGTCGTATAGGTACTACAGATATGTACCGTGAGGTAGTTTTAGGTGTTTAGTATTATGTTTATATTTTTATATGAGGTATGTTAGGGTTAGGGTTAGGGTTAGGGTAGGGTTAGGGTTAGGGTTAGGGTTAGGTTAGGGTTAGGGTACACTTCTGTAGTACAGTCTGGTACACTTTGTGTATCATATTATCAAGGCTCGACACTAGCGGTGGCCCCGGTGGCCGGGGCCACCAAAACTTGATGTCGCGGCCACCAAAATTTCAAAAGTTAAAATTTGGTGGCCCGAACGGGCCACTAAAATTTCAAAGTGTCTATGTGATGAAAAAATAATTGTTTCTTACGTGCTAATCTCATTCAAAAGAGAGCGAGCAATTCGCGGAGCGAGGGCACACGGACGCACGTGCAGCATTCTATACCGCGCGCATACACGGGCGCACGTTTTAATCGATCGTCTACTGCGGCTGCAACAACCCACATTATTGTGTTACAATACATGCGTCCCGGAAGGGTCGGTACGGGACGCGGGACACATGGGCCAAAATACGGGACGTCCTGGTCACCCTGATTGCTAGCTAGCTGCACTGGTGCTCACTGTTTCGGATCCAAAGCGAAACTGCGCAGCGTTCGAAAGTTCGCCGTAGAATAACTGAACTATTCCATGAAGATGATCAAGTATTTAATCCGAAGTGTAATTATTAGTGCTTTGTAATTTATTTATGCATTTCTCTGTCTCTTTACGCCAACGAAATATTGAACTTAGTCTTAGACATGGCTGCTTTTTCTTTTTAAATGCATGCCGTACCCAGGCTACTTTGTTGATATAATTATGGTTCTACTTTATCTTATTACATCTGCAATATTTTATTTTTACAGTTTTCAAAGCCTGCCAGACATTTTAACTTTAATGAGATTAAATGTATATGTTTTATTTAACATGAAAAGCCATTGTGTTTGTTGTTTTATTACAGTTCATGCTCTGTGACTTTGATCTTCTGAACGTCTGAACTGATGCGTTAGCATGTTGCACCGCCGACCGCGCGTGTTTAGATAAATAAATGAGTGAAAGTAGAAAATGATATGCAAGATTCTGTGAAAATTGATGCGTGGACTTGGATATATTCAAATGTATCCTCAATCACATCAATGTCAGTGATGTGCATTTGTGTGGGGTTTGTTTAAGACTTGTGCAAGGCATCAGACGGCCCAATTTTCTAAATAATATACAATTACTAAGCATTGAATAAAGGAGTTTTAATGTTTTTTCTTTGTGTTTTTTTTGTCGGCAGGGGCACCCGATTGCTATTTCGGGCCACCAAAATTGAAATACAATGATTTTGGATGGCCGATCGGCCCAGCTGAAAAAAAAAGTTAGTGTCGAGCTTTGCATATATGTACCTCGTCGGTACATACTCTGTAGTACCTGATACACAACGACCCCTTACAGCTTGTTAGTACCAAGGGTACGTTCCGGCAGTACCCTAGGGGACATAGACCACTTCGTAAGCCTAAGCGACTGCTAGTCTGACTGGTACCCTCCCATTCTCACACGCTCGATATCAAGGGCGTGTGAGAAGCGAGACGGTACCAGGTTCAACTCAAGTCTAACTCATATGGTCATAAAGCAAAATCTTACCAACGTGCGCGGCGGGCTAGCGCATGCGCCACACACTGGGGAGGACGTTTCAGCACTGCATTGCTCGCCGTAGCTCCTCCCCCACCCACGAACCTGGCCAGCACACAGCCGCCCTATACACGCATTACACGCCTAATCACATAGGGTCTGCAGCGGAGACCATATCGCAACCACTAAATATTATCTTGATATTATCAAGAGCGGATCAATACTAGAGATGTACAACGGAAAAACGGGAAAATAGGCTATTCACGACTACACTTATTCTACTTTGGCGCTGCGAGTCTAGAATAATTCTTTCATGTATTGCATTATAGCAGAATTCTTCTGCTCTCTAAAACAAGGCCACCGCTTGTCAATACGATACTCCTACGGCGGAGATATCGCGCTTCCTAAACGCTCCCCCCCACATTTGCAAACGCCACTCCGAATCCACTTCTGCCACCTATTCCTAACACGCGGCTAAGCGTTGCTTCGTTGAAAAGTTCGGTTTTTCTCCGCGATAAACATTTATGAATGACGGCCGTTCGGTTATTCATAGGTGACATTCGGGGGCATCGCCTATGCCCTATCTTCCATTATCTTTCCTAGCACGGCTAACGCCGCTCATTGGATGGAGCCGGCTCCATCAACGTTTTACAACGCAGCTCAGCTTACTAAGTGTAGTAACCAGTACAATTTGGGCAATGACATCAATTATCAGCGCTCCAAGTGGCTGACGGAAAACGATAGGCCAAAATGCTTGTACCCGCGTGTTAGGATGGTGGCAGAAAGTGGATCGAGGTGGCGTTGGCATGTGGAGGGGGTTTAGAGGCCGATATCTCCGCCTAGGAGGTATCGTATTGGACAAGCGGTTGGTCTTTGTTTGTACGAGAGCAAAGAATTTCTGCTTAATGAATACCATGAACATTATTCTAGACTCGGCAGGACAAAGCTAAGAATAGTATGTAGTCGTGAAATAGCAGCTATTTTCGCCGTTTTCCGTTGGTTTACACTCTAGGTATTATCGCTCTTGCATATTATAAGTAAGAACGAGAGTCATATCATCACCAATCCCGCCAATCGAAACTCGAAGTTACCATACTATGTTGGATAATATATTCAATATATAAACCATGATAGTTAATATGCGGTCTAACGGCGCTCCGTAGCTCACAAGCGGAAAGACACAACGCGCGTGGGCAAATATAAGCAGATCATGTGACTTAGCACAAACAAATAAAAACATCATATATGACCAGGGATAAGCGACGCA